ACAGAGCATCCTTCTTCTATGAGGACTCTGAGGGTGAAATTGCCCATGACACTACTGATGAGTATATAGCTATCTCTTTGATGCTGTGCTTGGTGTTAGTATTAGCAGATCTTTGGACAAAGTTATCTCCCTGGTAATGTCTGTCATGGAATTTTACGTGATCTTAACATATGCATTGGCAACTGCCTTGATTAGGGACAGACTTTAAGGGAACATTTTAAAAAGTAAGGTGAGATGCTTTTCTATAATCAGAGGGCAAAAAGACAAAGCACTAATCTTATCATCATAACACTGCACTTTTCACTGTTTAATACATTTGACATTCTATTCCCTTACTCCCCACCCCTACCCCAGCCTGAAAAATTCACTGTCTCAGTACTTATATCTCTTGCAATTCCTGGTCCATTTCAAATGCCTAATACTTCCTTTCCCACCTCTACCATCCACTGCCAGCATTTCACCTCTGCCACCCCCGCAAAAAAAAAAAAATCCTTATATTTATTTTATATATATTATAATGGCTTTCTCTTCTGATATATGAACTCTTTCAATTATATCGGTATTGTTTTTGTATCCACTCTAGTACTTGGTATAGGGTAGGCATTTAATAAAACCTTATTGTTTGATTGTTTATACCTCAATCGATTGTGAGACTGTAAAACAATTATCTGATTTTAAAGTTTGTGAAAATCCAACTGTACCCTTCTCATATATTCATCAAGGGTGCCACTGACATATTCATGGGCAATTTTCATTAGCATTTTATTGACAGGAATGGGTAGGCATATGGGATGGTAGCTGCTATCATCTAAAAATTCCATCTCAGTGATGCTGCTTTTTGAAAGCTAGCGAAGTTCATAGAGGCTTCTTACCAGAAAAGTGACCAGTAACTAGTTGATGGCTTCTTGTTGTTGTTGTTTTTTACCACTCATCAAAATTCTCACAATAACTTAATATTTAAAAATAATTAATATCTTTGATCATCTAATGCAGGAGGGAGGGTTCTTTAATTAGGACTGGTGAACCATTTTTTAAAAAATATATTTAATAATTATATTTCAACATATTTGGTTTCCTTTGTTATCATATATATTTTATTTTATGGATTTAAAAAAAACATTATTCTAAGAAGGGCTCCATAGGCTTCAGGAGATGACCTGAGGTCCATAACACACATCTACAAAAAGCTTGAGAAAACTTGATATAGTATATCAGAGACATTCTACTGCTATAGAATACTATCAATAGGAAAAGGTATAGGAGTTGGGCAACATCTGTAGCGAGTCCAAGTAAAATTCCTAGACTTTTTAATTGAAAGGACCGTAAGACCATAGACTTAGAGCGAAAATAGAGCTTACAGTACATCTAGTCAAATCCCTTGATTTTATAGATGAGGAACTGAGGCACAGACAGATTAAGTAATCTGCTTATGGTCACACAAACAGAAGTGGTTAATATAGGATTTAACTCTGACACTGTAACTCTAGAGTAAGTGCCCTTTCCACTGTACTACACTATATAGGGTAACTTTATTGGGATAACTGTTGGCTGAATTAATGCTCTGCTTTATTAAAGTTCTACTCTCTTGCCTCATCATGGCACAGAAGTGACTTTTGGTCCTCAAGTTCTGACTACTAAGTCCTAAAAAGCTACAAAGGCTTTTAATCTAGGCTCAGCATTGTTTAATGGACCATATATCTGTCAGGCATGGATCAGTTTGGGCAGAGTTCAAAGAAGTTTCACAACCTCAGTGGCTGCAAAGTGATGAATTATTTGGCTACAACAAATTTGGAAGACGTTTGATCAAATTGGAGAGGGGTTGTAATCTGTAGCAATGGAGGAAGTGCCCACACAGGAGAAGTCAAGCATCTTTATAGGAGAGAAGTAAGATAGAACTTTACTTTTGGCCATTTGCTTCTTTATTCTAAAAACAGAGTAGGGTTCTTATTAGTTGAATAGATCAAAGAACTCTTAGTATGCTAAACATTGGGGAAAGAATGAAAAGAAGAATTTAGTTAACAAATATGAAAATTGTACCTAAAAGCTTGAATTAATGATGCTTAGTGTGTTTTCAGCAATTAATAGACTGTAGGCTGTGATTTTCATTGCCTAAATAGCAGCTAGTTGTAATAAAAAAAAAGACAGTTAATTTCTATTCATCTCACATTTTAATGTTTGAGTTTATAGAGTTCAAATTCAATGGGAACACAGACTTCCATTCTGTGAGGGAAGGATTCTTTATTTTGTGTAACCTTTTATTAAATTATTATTCATAGTGAAGATTATGACCAGAATTGGGTAATGATCACATTCCAAAAAAGAATTTCTCTTTGGATTGAAAACTTTGTTCACAATTGTTCACAGTTTTTACCTTCTTCTTCCTTATAATCTGAAGAGTCCCCAAAAGGATTAACTCACCATTTTCTTATGAAGCCAATTTAAAAAACAAAACAAAACAACACTCCCTTCCTTAAGAGCTTTAAAAAATGTAGTCGCAGTAGCAGCTTTCATATTTGTGGAAACGAATAAAATGCAACAGCTTTCTAGAAGATATTTGCAAATACACACACACACACACACACACACACACACACACACATATATATATATATATGTATATATATATATATATATATATATATATATATATATATATAAATTTCCAATCATGTTATTCCCAGGGAGACATAGTATGTCATAGTGGAAAGAGCCAATCTCAGTGTTGGGAATACTGGGCATCAAATCCTGCTTCTGAACAAAAAGCCCCTCTGTCGGGCTCTGCTTACTTCATTTAACCATAAGTGGTAGGTAGCTCTCTAATAATATAAATTACAGAGAAATTATTGATCTTCATTAGTGGAGGAAGTAACCACACAGAGTTCCCCACACTAGTGACTGTATTTTAGTGACTTTCAGCTTTCTGTGTGTGTGTGTGTGTGTGTTGTGTGTGTGTGTATGTGTGTATGTGTGTGTGTGTGTATGTGTATGTATGTCTGTCCATCCTGGCAGCATTCCTTGGCAGGGTTGTGCTGAAGGCAGTTCAAACCAGCTACCAAGAAGTGATTATTAATTTTCAGTGTGATGGATAAAATCTTAATAATGCAGATTAAACTTTAAAGTATTATACATGCATTTGGAGAACAGATTATTAAACATTCACCAGTATGTTCTTGCATGTTTGTGTTTGTTTGCATGTGTGTATTAATAGCCACATACATTCTTATATTTAAGTATGTAGCTGTATTAATATTTGTGTAGAGACCACATCATATAACCAGTAAGGAATACCAAAAAAGAATGTTGTTTTAAGAACAACTTTGAGTGAATAAGTCATTTTGATGATTATAAACACAAAAGACATGAAGGAAGATGCTTTCTGTATCTAGAGAAAGAACTGAAGAATAGATGTATAAAATGATTTTACACACACACACTGCTATTCCTTTTAAATATATATTTATTATTAGATATTTATTTATTATTTATTATATTTATTATGTATCATATATATTTATTACATAGCTAACATTATATTTGTACATAATATATTATATAATGTGTTTGTTATATATTTATTATATATTTGAAGGGAATTATATTTATCATATAAATACTATATATAATAAATATGTAAATCTATTACATATTTAAAAAGAATAGCAATTTGTACATAATAGATTTGCAGTTTCATAGGCAATCATCTTTTTTTATGATACTATGATATGAAAATGCTTGTTATATTCCATAAAATAAAAATTTAAAAAGAATAGGAGTAAATGATATCATCAGTGAAGTGTATGACATGAATAGAGAATGCACTGCTCATCTAGCAAGGACCAAAGGATGATAGGGAGACTGTCAGAGTGCCTCATGTTGTCTGGAGACAGTGATGAAGACCTCTAGTCATTTAGGAGGACCTCTCCCGACAAACTTTTGGATGATGTTGATGCTATTTAAAGAATCTAGGTAGGCATGGGAGGATTGTGGTGTGTTTCAGTGAAGGGAACACCTGAACTGATGAAATCAAAGATCCACTGGAGTACTGCATATTGATGATTATAATGATTAACATCATTACTCAATGTAATAAGAGACATCATCATGTCTCTACAAACATGATTTCAAAGAAAGTGAGTAGAACCCTTATCAACATTTCTTTGTGCAACCACTAAAATGCAAATGCTCAAGGCTGATTGCTTTGATGTTAAAGCAGTGGCCAGCATTACCCATAGCCTGCATAATTACGGTTCAATTTTCTAGTACCTAGACACAATGCAATGCCACCTCTCTCCTTTGCCCACCCTACCCTTTGTCTCCAAGCAAAGGAGCACGACTAGTCAATAATTACTTATCAGTCTTACTCTGTACCAGGCACAGAGTTAAGCACTCATTCCAAGAGCTGGAATTTCTCATATAGTAATGCAAATACAGGAAAACCCTAAGTTTTGCAGACCCAGATTCATTCAACCTAAAAAGAAACTAAGATCGTATGCTGAAAATCTCTAATGAGTGGTGAATTGCTTAGTTTCATGAAATACAGATTTGTGCATACCGTAATAATAGCAAAAACTTCTTTGCTCAAGCCTCATTATGGAACAGAAATCAAGGGGAAATACATTTGCCAACAAAGGCACAGCTAAAATTGTGGGTAACTGTTTCTTTTATACTTTGTTCTCTTCTAATTGGATAAGCAACTTACAGTTAAAGAATTGCTGCAAGTCAAGATAACTATGAACACATTTTATTGTATCTACTCCGTGAATATACCCTCAATATAACTCAGCTCTGCTGGTTGCCAATATTGTTTTCGATTTCCATCTATTAGATATATGATCAAGCATGTCAAATCTGCCCTGAGTAAGAAAGCCAAAAAAAAAAAAAGTCATTTACTGGAAACATTCTCACAGCTATTAATCCAACAACCCTGGTCAGATTTAATGCTCAAAGGCATTTACCTACAAAGTTAAGCAGATGCTTTGAGTTGCAAGCTAATTTTGTTCCTCTGTTATCTTAACAGGACATCTGTTAAAACATCATCCCAGGAAGGTAATATGCTCAAAATTAAACAACCTGCAGGTTGTCTTGTGATTTTTATATGCAACCCTGACATTTAAACCATTAACTAACCCAGTGTGGAAACTACAAGTAAGCAATCCTAACCACAGCTCATTACAATGTGTTGTTTACAATATGTTGCTGTAGTTTTTACATAATTGTTCTTTTTGAAGTAATATTAAGGTTATTGAAAAAGTTATCATTTGATTAATAAAAATAAGAAGCTGAGACTCAACACTTCTCCTCCTTGATGTTTTCTTCTCTTTAGTGTTTTGTGATACTCCTCTCTCCTGGCTCTCCTCCTAACTATCTAACTGCTGCTTCTCAGTCTTATTTGCTGGATCTTCAGCCAAGTCATGCCTGCGAACCATGGGAGTCCCACTGGGCTCTGTCCTAGGCCCTCTGCTTGTCTTTCTGCTATTTTGCTTGGTGATCTCATCAGCTCCCATGAATTCAATCATTGTCTCCTTGCTGATTTTCAAATCTACTTATCCAAGGCTGTCTTCTCTGCTGACCTTCTGTCTCATATCACTGACTACTTATTGGACATCTCAAATTGGCTATCCCATACATATCTTAAGCTCAAAATGTCCAAAGCTGAATTTATCTTTACTTGTTTTCCTCTTCATAGCTTCCCTCTTACTATCAACCACAACAACATATTTGGAATTGCCAAGACTTGCAAATAGGCATCCTCCTCAGCTCCTCGCTATTTCTCACCCTCCACCCCCGCCACCATGTCCAATCTATTTCCAGGCTTGTTAATCGCACTTTTGCAACACCTCTCAAATAAACCCTCTTCTCTCTTCTGATACTGCCAGCACCCTCATTGTGAGCCCTCATCATTTCATGCTTTGGTGACAGCAAGAGCCTGCTGATGGGTCTGCCAGCCTCAATTCTCCCCTCCCACTCCAAGTTATCCTCCATTCAGCTGCCAAAATCATGTGATATGGGTATGTAAGATTCTTTTTTGGTCCCAAGCTTGTGGGCAGGTTGTCTTATACAGTATGTCTGAACTTAATTGATCATATAATCCCATCAGTAAATAAGTACATATTTAATATTCATAAATAGCACATATGTATTAATGAGTTGATAATCATCTATAGCAAAAAATGTACACATAAATACAAATTGAAAAGGATGAGATCAACATGAAATTGTAGTTCAAGACTCAATAGAGAACCTCTCAAGCTTATTGAGTAGGGGAGTACAACAGTCAGATTCACACTGTAGGAAAATCACTTTGGTATTTATGTGAAGAATGGATTGAAAGGGGTGAGATTTGAAGCATCAGACCTATTAGGAGAGTAGTCCAGGCAAGAGGTGCTGAGGACCTGAACAAGGTGTTGAATGGGTTGATGCAAAGGTAACTGATGTGAAGAAATGGAGATTGAGAAATTTAGAGTGTAAGTACCTTGAGCGTAGGTTTATACACCTTTATATTTGTGTTTATCTTTATATTTGTATATCTAGTGCCTAAAACAGTGTCTGCCATGTAGCAGGCACTTAGGCTCATTGATTGCGGACTTATTAATGACAAGATATGCTAACTGATTGGATGGATGAGATTGTGGTTATAATCTGGCCAAGTAGATGGACACCATTGCCCTCAATATTACTCAATAGTAATAGCAATGTTGGAAGAGGGATAGAATTTGGAGAAAACAAACAATAAAGAGATCTGAGATTCATTCTGTACTTACTAATGTTGGGTCACTCACTCTGACCAAACAAAAATAAAATTGGGTAGTGGATAGTATGAGAGACTCTGATTCACCAGACAGTGCTCCCAGAATTATGAAATAGGCACCTGCTACAGGCACAAAATGATGATGTGTGGTATGATTCCAACAGCACCTGTGGTAGCTGAAGGTTTCAGGGTGAAGGGCATATCAAAACTGCTCTTGGGGGCCCAAGTGGGGCTGAATGGGAGAAATTTGGAGAATTAGTAGGAAAGGAATGAGCAGGGCAATAAAATATGATTCTGTTGGAGACAGTATCATGGGGACAGTGGGATTTAATACATCTTCTTAGAGCCCTTCAAGTGGCTAGTCACATACCCTTTGAATCATTTCCCTAGTAGGCTGGTAGATCAACTTTGGAGACCACTGGTGTGAAGACCAGAGCTGGTGCAATAGGGACAATCAAAGTAGAGACTTCAAAATAATTGTTTTTATCCTTCTTTCTTCCACATTAATTAGACAGTAGTTTCTCAAACACACAACATTGTTTGCAAATGCAAAACTTATTCACATACACAAACCCTATCTACACTAATTATGGCAACAAATGCAAGTCATATAGAAACCAGTAGCTTGGGAGTGGTAGGAGAAAACATCTTTTTTTTTTTTAAATTCTATATACTATGTATCATTAATAGATATAGTTTCTGGATTCTCATTTCATGCTTTCATATATCTATGTACTTTCCATTCACTATTGATTGCTTGATCATTTCTGGCATTATATTACTTTAAGGGATATGAAGCAGACACAGCAACTAAAGAATTGAATGTTATAATCTTACCTTTCTCAAACCCTTAGAGTGGGAAAAGGAAAAACACATATAACTTTGCCCTTTAGACTTATCCTTTAGATTGTTTGTTAAAAGAAGATGATTAAATTTTCATGGACTCTGCTAAGACCAGCTTTGGGTTGTAAAATGAAAGGCAGAGCAGATGTTATTAACTACTTCATTGCCAAAGGGCCATTACTAACCAGGATCTGTTATAAGACTCTTTATGCTCTTGCAGCTATACTATTTCAAATCTCTAAGACTTAGAATCCTGCTTTCAGCAGGAAGCCCCTACCTTGACTTTCTCTGTTTGAGCATACGGGCACTTACTCACTGCATTTCTGCCACAACTTGGAGTAGAGAGAGTGTGAGTGTTCATATAAAATTTTAATACAGCCATTTTCCCTTTTCTTAAACTAAACTGGCCCTCCCAGGGCTTGCTAGCTCACCTCACTTAGCCAATATGGGTAAATATATGCTCTACAATTTTTTTCAGGTGATTATTCAAAAAAGGAAAATGTCATTAAAACCCATTTTACTGTGGAATGTCTTTGAACAAAATGGATTATGGGGGATAGCAGAGATGTATAAATTAGGTCAGGAATTCATCTTTGGTAGGCTGTATGGGCTTTTCCTGTGTGGAAGCAAAATGTGAGCTTTAAGAAGCAATCCTGTCTGTTCTTTTCGAGCCGCCTGAACAATTTCCTTTCATTGGTCATGGTACCTTGCTGAAAGGCTTGCCTGACAGCCAGGGGTGTGAGGGCTAACAGTGAGGCAAAGGATCAGAGAAATGCCATAAAGAAAGATGACTCTGCAGCAGGGCATGCTGTGCACGTATATGATCCCAATCATAAAACCATATGTCCATGGGGGCTTTAGTTGTGCCCAACACCATCGTCCCCCCACCCCTAGGCATTTTTCCCCTTTTTTCTTTGTTGGCATTGAAGTAAGACAAATCTTACTGATTTTAGATGCATATGGAGCCAGATTTCAGCAAAAGACATTCAGTGATTGCTACAAAAACAATCTGCCTGGTCTCCATTATGTATCCTTACCTCTCCAGACCACTGCTAAAGACCCCAATCAGCTCTGCAGTGATGCTTAGTGGGAATCTGTTAGTTCTTCCTGTCCTTTAAGCAGGTGATAATCTCACGCTACTAAAAATGTCAACATCTTTACAGATTCCTTTGGCTCTAATAAAGAGCAGTTTTAAACCCATCTCATGGCCTCTGTCCCTTATAACTAATTTCAAGAAGCAAAAGACTCTTAGGGATGATTTACTTGTTAATGGAAATAAGTTGGTGACTTTGACTTATTTGGTATTAATAGCAAAATGGATGGATTTGCACTAAAGAAGGATGGTGGATTTTTTAAATTCCCAATGTCACTTCACTCTAGTAAGAAATAAAATAATTCTTTATTCCACTAACTCTTTCTATCTCCATCATAAGCACACACACACACACACACACACACACACACACACACACACACACACACAACTGAGACATTTTATTATTAAGATGTAATTTCATCAAATGGTTCTAAGAGTGTGTTGTGCCAAAATGTCCCTTGTGGTTCAGAACCTCCTAGGAAATCCCTAGTGGAAAATACAGGCTAATATTCTACTTGCCCAAAAGTTATTAGGTATTTTCTATTTTGAGTCTATCTAGTGCAGTACATTTTAAGGCCCTGACATGTTTTGGAATGAATGAATACCCAGGAGTATCATCACAAATATGGTAATATTTTTCTGGTTTTTTTTCTCTTTTTTTCTTAAAGCAAACATAGAAAGAGTCAAGGGGTGTGTGTGGTGCATGCAAATACAGGTATGCAATAAGTATTACGATTTTATTACTATACCTCCTTTTTCCCATCTCCTGTGACCTAAGGACATTTGGGTCACTTTTATCAAAATAATAATAAATTATAAATAAATAAATGTAAGAGGGAGTATTGTATAATGCAGAGAAAGTTAACCTTCAATATGGACAACTTTGACTCAAATTCTGTTTCTGACATCTACCAGTTTTGTGAATGTGGTCAATTCACTTAACTCTTCAGTAAATGAGGCAACTTTCTGAGATCAGAAGTCACAGACAAAGTATCAATCTTGATTGGTAGATGGAACTTCTATATTAGGAGTTCCCCATACTGAATAAATCAATAATAACCATATGGTTATCTGAGGAATAGTCTAGTTATGTTTGAAAAGTCTGGTGACTTAATTGGCCACAAGATAATACATTATTTTTCTACCACAGAACCTCCTAACAACTTTTTACTAAGCATAGAGGAGTGATGCCTTGTTGGCAGAGCCATACTCATGATGAAATCATAGAATCATTGACTTATTGCTGGAGGGATTGTGAGATACCAAGACCTACTTGAGATATCTAGCCCAATTTCATCCTTTTACAGATAAGCCAAGTGATTTATCCAGGTTTACACAGATGGTGGAGGTAGAATTTGAAACCAAGTTGTCTTAATTCAAATCCAGTTTTCTTTGCATTGAACTGTTCTTCACTAGTTATTAAGTATCAAAGTATACGTATAATGGAGGCATTTAAGGTGTGAAGATGTGATCTATGTCACTGGAGGAAATACATAAATCATTGAAATCATGGCTATTTAAAGGTATTCAATATTTACTACACCAGCTTTAGATTGGAACAAATTTTGTACAACAATGATGTATGGAATTTATCCCTTTGCAGTCTAGAAGATATTTCAGACTACCTTACAATAGCCCATACATCACAATCTGCCTTAGCTATCTTAGCTCTGAATTATTGCATACAATATTACTTTCAAGGCATTTTAATGGAGCCATTTTACAAAACAGAGTTTTTAAGATTCTAATAGCAAATTAAGACAAAGCCCATTTAAAGATTCTCCTAATTTTTTAGGCATCAACTTTTTTCTTACTAAATTAGGAATAGCTGCTATTTGTAAGATGTCTTCTACTCATTTTATCTCTATCTGGAAAGGGGTGGCTAGGTGATGTAGTAGATAGAACTCTGGGTTTGGAGTCAGGAAGACTTGGGTTCAAATCCATCCTCAGACACTTAACTAACTCTGGGCAAGTCACTTAACCCTGTTTGCCTGAGTTTCTTCATCTGCAAAATGAACTGGAGAAGGAAATGACAAACCATCCTAGTATCTTTGCCAAGAAAACTCCAAATCGGGTCAGGAATCGTCATATATAACTGAAAATGTCTAAACAACAACTCCTACTCATTTCATCTTTATACATACATACATATATATATGTCAATCAAAGTGGTAAATGGGCAAACCTGGCTTAAATCCTAGCCATTTCTAGCTACTTAATATAATATAATACAGAGATCATTTGGAATAACTGCTATCTTCAGTTATACCAAATGATAATTAATGTTCATGTTATAAATTTTTTTTCAGTTGGTTTGATATACTATTACTTCCTCCTGGAGTGACAGTAGTGGGCAGATTGTTAGTAATAATGCTACTATCCACCTCTGTGTCTTTTCCTTTTTCGATCAATTCATAATCTTAGTAGAATTGGAACTAAAGACTTAGAAATGGGAAATGACTCTAAAAAACTCAAATGGCTCTCTTCCCAAAGATGTAGAAATTCTCTCCAACCACATAGCTCATAATCCATCCATGCCCATTCAACCTGAAAAACTCTTGGCTACCTAAAACTTCACACAATGCAGTACTACCCAATGTTCTAAGGCCTTCTTCTCTCCTGATATCATTAATTAGTAGTGGAGAATTCTGGTTGTCAAATTATTATCTCTCCTCACTGTGGCCAGTAGAGAAAAAATTAAAGTAATTTGCTATTTCTTTTTCTACTTCTATTTATAAGGTTAGTTAGTTATGTAATTGTTCAAAAGCCTTTATCCCAATTAGGTTCATTAGTATCAATCTGAGTGTTAAAATATCATCTATATTTGAAAAAAATCTTTTTGTTTCTTATAGGGTAGAAAAACATATATTACATCTCATGAAACGAAATAAAAAATCAAAGCTGCCACTAACTAACAGAATGACCTTGGATATCAATTCTCTGGGCCTCTGTTTCCTTATTTGTAAAGTGGGCCTACAAAACTCCTGAGGAGGGTCCAAACCAAATCAAAATGTAATTGAGATGTTTAATAAAACACATTATAAATAATGCTAATTTGTGGTTTTCTAAGCTAATATGTGGCCCACAGGAATTAATGTTTTTTGAGTTTGACACCACTGGACTAGTTGAACTCTAAAGTTTCTTCTAGTTCTAATATACCATGAATCTATGCCTCTATATGTTAACATCAACTTTATACCCAAGCCAAACAAATAATAACTAGCAGTATAGTCAATGGGTTTTAAAATATTCTACAATGTTGATCTTTACCACAGTATATATATATATATATATATATATATATATATATATATATATATAAAGTCACATAAATCTGAATTCAAGTAGATTTGTACAACTTAGAAACTTTGACAAATTTCACAACTAAAAAATACCTTAGAAAACATGTGTTTTCACGGTAATATTTTTTCACATGAGGAAACTGAGTCACAGAAAGGCGACATATTTATAGTAGATTTATCAGCTAGTTAATAGCAGAGTCAGTATTAGAACTTAAAGAAGTATATTATCCAATTTAAGCATATTGTTTCCAAGATATTACTTACAGATGAGTGAAAATCCTAGGCCAGCAGCATTCAATCTGACAAGCCTGGCACGAAACATATGTGCAAAACATAATATGTGCAGAATATTATATATAGATTTTCTTTGTTCACAGTATTATGCCACAGAAATTCTAATACTATAAATGAACATAAAAGCTTATGATTCATTTTTACTTAACATTACCAGAATCTGAATTGCCAGATATAAATATTCTTAAAGTATAAAACAGAAAAAAAAATTAACATGGAATTACAAAACCCATAGGGAACACAGTCATATTCATTATGAAAACTAAGATTTCTCATATCATATCCCAAAATGGGAAGACCTTCATGAAGGGGCACACAATAAAAATGTCTTTCAGAGAGCATTTTCAAACTGGATTTAGTTTTTCTTTTATTTGTGTTTTTATTTCTATAGTAAATACTCTAACTCAGGTGACAATTGATTTAATTATGACAATTTGTTATATAATTGTTCTATTATAATATAGGCAATACATGGAGAAAAAATAACAGTAGGAAAACCAAAGGAAAGGTAAATGATTTCTAACAGAAATCAGCACCATTGCCAAAGCCCTTAATTGCCCAAAATATTTTTTTAAAATCTATATTGAATGAGGATGATAAAACTCCATGTCAATGTCATTTTTCTTTGCAAGTATAATCTGTAATATACCTATAAACTTTAATTAAATAACTGCCATATGTGGTCCAAAATATAGTGCATTGTAAATAGCCACTGGACTAGGCTCATCTATCTGAAGACAGGAGGGGCTCATAAAAAGACAGCTTAGTTTTAGGAATTGGCAGCTAACCCAGGACTGATGACTGAAACAAGTTAGACAGTAAATTACCTTTGAGAGGTCCCCAGCCTCCAAGTAGAAGCAGATAACAAACACATTCCATGTAACCCAGAGGACTAGCCAGATAGCATACTGTTGGGAAGAAAGAGAGAAACGATATTTTATTGAGAGAACCAATACTTGATTCATTTTTTAAATTAGCAATGCAAGATTTAAGTAGAGCTTCAGCTGAGTGTGAAACTTTCATAAAATCAATGTTTTACACACCAGAGAAGAAAAAAAGAAAATATTTTACATAGCTTCTCTTTTGTAAAAAACAAGGCTATGTTCCAAATAATCACACTGGCAATTACCTGTCACTTAAGAAGTTAATGGCACTGGATTCATACATAAAATACCTTCAGACTTGGGATTATTTAGAGCCTCAGTAAAACAGTACAGAGAGAAATATGCGCAAAATTTCAATTCATAAAGTTGTTTTTTTAACATGAGAAATGATTTTGAGTATTCTAGTATTGTTTCACTATTAATCTCTTATTACCATATATTACCATATTTCTTTATCATGGTGCCTCACTTCCTCATTCGCTGTAATGAAAGGACCAATCCATGCCCTTTATTAAGATGCTGAATACTAGTAGAAGGCAAGTAAAAATACACATTATGAACATTTGAAAGGTACCACTTAAAGAGTATCAAATGTCATACATATTTTGTAATTGGCAGAAGTTCTCTGTTGGAATTAAAGGAAATGTCTACAAAACAATGTTAATAACGTTTATTGAAATATCTGCCATTCCAACTCTTCACCATAAACACGCCATAAGTGTCCTCTTAAATCCCATATGTTCTTGCCTAACCTAAGTCATAGATCATTCGTACCACCTTCCTCCACTTGTAGGATCTTGTAAAATGTGCACTTAAAAATTCCTGTTTTCAATGTTAACTATGCCCTCATTTCCTTATCTCACTTCTCACAGACTCTTGCAAACCTTCTTTTTCCTCTTTCAGCTTCACCCTTCTTCACCCTCTTTAAGTAGAAATCTGACCATTTGACATGAGCTCCCTGTTCTCCCATTTTTTTCATCATAAAATCACTTGACATTATCTCTGTGTCTCCTTTTCCCTAGTCTCTGACAAAAAAAAAAGAAAAAAAACACCATGACTTTCTCTTTGCCCAGGTCAACTCTTCTACATGTGCCATTGGTCCCATCTGTCTTCTTCAGCAGGTTGTGACCTCAATCATCTACTCTAGATTCTCACATCTTCAATTTTTCTCTATTTACTCCTTCCTTTTTCTCAGCCAAAGTCCTCAACAAAGCTACTATAACCAATGTCTCTCCTTCTCTTCTCACTCATTATTCAACCTTTTGCAGTACTGCTTCCAATCTCAAATCAAAGTGCTTGCTCCAAATTTACAGATGATCTTTTATCACCAAATCTGGTCTTTTTTAATTGGTCATCCTTCTTGTGCTTATCTAGATACCATGGACCACACTCTCCCCTCCTGTCCTCTCTTCCTCTCTGTACTGTCTCCTCCATCTCTCTGTAACCTTGCCAGCTACTCTGGGTGTTGCCTCAGTCAAAATGAGAACTCAGAAAGACCTTAACTTAAAAAGGCCAAGGTCTCCCACTGCATTCAGAGCCATCTCCAGTTGTCTTGATCTATATCTGGCAACTGGACTCAGATGCCTCAGAGGAGAAAGTGAGGCTGATGACTTTGCACAGCCCTCCCTCAACCTAAATCCAGTTCACTTGTGAAGTCATGACATCATCTTCCTGATGTCATGGTCCTCTTCAAGAACAAAGGACAAACCACACATGGAAGTATTTAACAACTCAACTGTACAGATGACTCATAAATCTATACATCTCACCCCAGTCTCTCTTTTAAGCTTTATTCCTGCATCACTAATTGCTGATTAGATATTTCAAATTAGGTGTCCAGAAACATATTAAATTCAACATGTCTAAAACTAAACTCATTGTCTTTTACCCTAAACTCTCTTCTCTTCCAAATTTCATTATTTCTTTCTCAAGTACCACTATTTTCCCAGCATCTCGAAGTTTGTAATATAAGCATCATTCTGGATGCTTCACTCTCATTCCACATAATGAATCAATTGATACATCTTGCTGTTTCTACCTTCCTTCGAAATATCTCTCACACTCCATCATTTCTCTCTATTACCTATATAGCTATCATGTTAATTTGTACTTTCACCAGCTCTCATTTGGCTTATTGCAACAGCCTTGTCTCTAGCAATTCTAGTTCATCCTAAACACTGCTGCCAAAATAATTTTCCTTAACTGTGGATAGGGTACTTTCCTACACAAATAATTTAAGAATATCCTCAAGGGCAAAGAAAATGTTACATCAATTGATGAGCCTGATCCTTCTAGTGATAAACAATTCCAATGACTTCTTATCGCCTCTAGGATTCATTCATTCATTTGATACACATGAATTAAGAAACTATTATGTGCCAGGAAGTGTGCTAAGGGCTGGGGATACAAATAGGGGTAAAAGATTGTCTTTACTCTAAGGGAGCTTATAATCTATAGACACTTCTGTTTAGTTTTTAAAACCATTTCTAACATGTTCACAATCTATCTTGCCAGTCTCATTTGACATTAGACCCTCTTCTTGTGCTCTGTGATCCTGCCAAACTTATCTTCTCTCTTTTCTTCTTACAAAATATCTGATCTCCCTTCTCTATGCACTTACACTAGCTATTCCCCCCTGCCTGCAATGCACTCATATCCACCTCATAAAATCCTTCTCTTTCTTTGAGACACATCAGAGACACCACATTCCATATGAAGCTTTTCCTTATCACTTTCTAATTATTTCCCTCCCAAACTAGCAAACATTTAATTTATTTGTATTTATTGCATGTATGCATGTGTGTATGTGTGTGTGTGTGTGTGTGTGTGTGTGTGTGTGTGTGTACTTTTTGCATTCCTCATTACAATATTAGCTCCTTGTAAATTAGGATTTTTGAATTCTCTATTTGGATCCCTAGTGCCAACCACAGTGCTTTTCCTAATTAATAAATATTTGTTGATTGAATGAAACATGTGGTTCTTTAACTGAAACAATGGGAAATGTTATCTAAGACTCTAAGACATGACATGGCACCTTGACAAATATGTTATTTTAAAAGATACAGAAATTTCTATCAAAATTGGCCCACTGAGATACCGTATATGTGAACCTATCATATATTTACATGGATGATAATTTATTTACTGCTCATACAACATTGTTTATTTTTCATTGAACCTGTTTATGAGAGGACATTGAATATTAGGTCACATAATCCGATCTCTTGGATTAATAGGAGAACATTTATTCACAAAATATTGTTTTTCATCACATCTCCCTTAAAGCACCTCTAATTCAGTGATTGAACCAATATTTATTACTTGCTTATGCTATGGCAAGGTATAATGGTGGATACTAAAAATAATATTTTATATTTTTATAGAGATTCATAATTTTCCAATCACTTACATTGGATAGGGAAAAGCATGTTGGACTTGGAATTTAGAGACACCTGAATTTAGATTCTACTCTGACATTTTACTAGATATATAAACATGGACACACCCTGTAACGTGAGACTCAGTTTCCTCACTTGTAAAAAGGAAGATAATACCTCATGATTGTTCTGAAGGCCAAATGAAATAATGTGCATAAAGTGCTTTGTAAAAGTTAAATTCCTATCTAAGTGTCAGCTATATTACTATCAGTATCCTTAGACTGTGAGGTAGACATGACCTGTATTAAATACAGTCATTTTATAGCTATATAAAATGGAGACAAATGTTAAGTGACTTACCCAAAGTCAGACACAGGTCATAAGTGGTGGAGCAGAGACTGGAACCTAGGACTTTTGTTTTCTACTGCAATGCTCTACCTACAGTGCTCTGTGACCTTGCCTCTCCCATCATACTGCTTCCACTATTTACTTAATGGTATTTTTTGCATCTAATTTACCTAGCCATAGTGTTATTTTCTTAAGGTCAAATGTTCTCATTTCCCAGTTTAATTCAATCTTAGTTTCTAAATTGCCATTGTTTATTATTTCACATAGGAATGTCACTTTATTAAGCAATGGAAATTTTTTTATTTAATTCTGAGTGATGACAATATTATACCATTCTAAAGAACTTTAAGCATTTTGTGGGGGCAAAGGATTGGAAACTGAGGGGATGCCCATCAACTGGGATATGGATGAACAAGTTGCTATATATGAACATAATGGAATACTACTATGCTATAAGAAATGATGAGCAGGCAGTTTTCAGAAAAACCTGGAATGACTTACATGAACTGATGCCGAATGAGGTGAGCAGAACCAGGAGAACATTGTACACAGTAACAACAACATTATGTGATGATCAAATTTGGTAGACTTAGTTTTTCTTAGCAATGTAATGATCTAGGACAATTCCAAGGGACTCACGGTTGAAAACACTGTCCAGAGAAAGAACTATGGAGTCTGAATGCAGATTGAAGCATACTATTTTCTCTTTTTTTCATTTTTTCTCTCATTTTTTCCCTTTTGTTCTGATTCTTCTTTCACAACATGACTAATGTGGAAACATTTAATATATGTATAACCTATATCATATTACATAATGTCTTGGGTAGGGGGAGAGGAAGGTAGAAGGAAAAAAATTGAAACTCAAAATCTTGTAAAAGTGAATGTTGAAAAGTATATTTGCATGTAATTAGAAAAAAATGCTATTAAGTGGGGAAAAAGAACCTCAAGCATTCACTAGTTCTTGTATGTTGTTATTCTTACTTTTCACACATTTATAATCTATGATCATGGGCTCTTCTCCTTTCTTTTTAGGCAAACACATGGAATCCCATTAAGCCTTTCTCCCAAGGCATACTTCAGAATCCTTTCATCTCCTGGAATCATTTATAACGTACTGAGTACTTTATTATACTTCTGCAATATGTCTCACATCCAAGTTATGACTATTTGCACAGCTGCCACCTTAGTTCAGGCTCTCATCATCTGGCCTCCCAACTGACTTCTCTGCTTCAAATTCATCCTCTCTACAATCCATCAACCATACTTGCCAAAGACCATGCCACTCCCCTACTCAATAAACTCCAGTGCCTCCCTGTGGTCTCTACCATAAAATATAAATTCCTCTGACATTTAAATCCTTTCTTGACCTCACCCCAACCCAGTTTTATAGCTTCCCCTTCTGTATTCTATGGAGCAGCTAAACTGGCTTTCTTGCCATCACTATTCTCCACTTCCTATCTCAATACTATTGCACTGACCATAACCATCACGATCACCATCATTGACCAACACTGTTGTCTTTATAATCCCTTATTTCTTCAAGACTCAACCTAAGTACCCTTTCTAACTTAATCCTTTCTGATTCTTCAGCTGTTAGGACTTTTCTTCTTAAAACCAATATATATATATATATATATATATATATATATATATATATATATATATATATAAAAATTCTCTATATAAATGTATGTATACACCTCACCTATCAACATGCTTCTTGAATTGAGGGACTGTCTCATGTTACTCTTTATGTCCACAGTACTTAGAATAGTGTTTGGCACATATAATGCACTTAATAAATGCTTGTGCATTGATGGGTTGAGGATAAAGAGGTTAAACCTATACTGTATTCTACTTAATAATAGCCTCAAAAGGAGGGTATCTCTTTGCATTAGTATGCTTGTCTTAATGCACCCATGTAAGACTAAGTCTATAAGAACAGGGAATACATTGCTGCAACATTTTCAGAAGATGAGCTTACATCTAATTTCCTATCCATTATAACAACCTTACAGCTTATTTCTACATATTCCTGCTTTTTGAACTTTTTGGAATTCTGCTTTGTTCTTGTTTTTCTCAAGTTCATTATCTGGCATTTATCTAAATTAAATCTCGTCCAATTGACTCAAGCCCAATTGTGTAAATGCTAAGAATCTTCTACATTCCTCTGTAATTTGGTCTATGAGCAAATTTTGTCAATGTGCCCTACAATTCATTTTCTCTTTGCAATCATTATTATCATTATTTACAGTCTGAGACTCCCCTCATCATACTGACTCCTGTCCAATGCCCACTGCTATTTAGTGATACCCCACTGATAATTATTGAGGTTGGAGATTATTAGAAATGATAGTTTTCTAACAGAGATAACGCTGTTGGTCTTTCCCAATGAGATAATATATTACCCAACCTGCCAGAGATTTCTGATCTCTGATTCTTCTTATCTATTAAATTATTCCTTTTTGTAAAAACTAATTTTTGCCTTGATTTTTAATATGAAAAACTTCCATTCTATTCCATGTTACCTCATATGGTATTGAAAGACCAGCATAATAGAATCATTTGTCATATTGAGTATTGCCATTTTGACCATTGAGAATCAACTGAGTCATTGTCTGCTCAATCCATTTTGGCTCTTAAAGCACTGAAAATAATCAAATAATGAAAATAAACTGGCCCAGGTAGTGTGATTGCTCTTGTTGCCTTCTTAATTCTCAAGTCATTTATGTTCTCTGAAGACACACACACACACACACACACACACACACACACATGCATATATATGTGTGCATCTTTATCTGCATATATACTTAGATCATCACAGTTCCAACTAATTTTCATTTTATAGCTCTAAAGGAAAAAATAACATTATACCTTGAACAAAAGAGCAATACATTTTTAAAAAGCAACTACAACAATAAAACTGTAAATACTTTCTTGACCTCATCCCACTCACTTTTCAAGCTTTCCATCTGTATTCTCTGGATGAACCCAAACTGACTTTCTTGCCACAGACTATTTTCTACCTCCTATCTCAATACCACTGCACTGATTCTCACCCATGTTTGGAATTAATGTCTAACTATGTAGATGGAACTATTGAAAAATAATTGTGTCCTTAGGCAAATTGTCTAAACTTTCTGAGCCTCAATTACGTCATTTGTAAAAGAGGTGATGTTTTAGTTCTCTTCTGACTCAAAAAAAAAAAATCCTGCAATTCCATGTAATTGAAACCCCTCTTGAAATTGAAGTTTGAATGAGACGATGTTGTTCTGATGTAGTCCTTCATAGTTCTTTGATTTTTTATAAATTTCTTGCTTCCTAGAAACAACAGTTTTATGCCACTCAAGTCTATATTTTGCTGGCCAGTCTACTCTAATTAGGGAAGTACTTAAGACTACTGAGAGAGAGGGACAGAGAGACAAAGAGAGAGACAGAGGAAGAAATGGAAGTGCATTCAGGAAAATTTTTACTTAAAAAGGTCAAGATGGATAAGAAAAACCATTGCATGACAACTGTTCTTGTGGTATGAAAGTATAAAACAGAATTAAATGGTCTTTCACATAAATCATAAAAGCTAAAACTGACTTTTCCTTTTGTTTCATTTTGTAAAAAGCAACAAACAGATAAGCCATTGAGAATATGGCAGGGTGAGATACTTAATACCTGTCAATTGAATTTTTTTCCAAGGTTAATAGAATTTTTAAGTGCTTTATTGAACAGAAATATGGGAATAAATACTGCTGTTTAAGACAAAAGAACCTTCTTTCTAGTTTCTGTAGTGTTTTCAGAATACTGCTCCTGTAATTCTCAGATCTATGAAATCAATTTCAGCAAGATAGACTGTCATTCACTTTTTGAACTGAAGTGGAGAATCCTGCATTTGACATGATGAAGATTAAAATAGGCAATTGATCTGGCTCCTGAATTGATTGTTCTCTTCCCTTTTTTGGTAGTGGTGTAAGAATGGGGGTGTGAAAGGAGTTTTGGGGAAAACAACAAATATATATGGATTGCTCACATCCAGGGAAAATATATCTTAAAATTCCACTTTCCTGCCAACTTTTTTTTTCTGTGACATTTGCTAAACAAAGGAAGTCATCAATATGGATAGATTAGGCAATATGTTTATCAAAACATTTTTTTTCTTCAGCCCTCCAATTCTACATTCCTAGTAAATTGAACTTCATCAAATTTGAGCTATATAAAAGTGATATTCTAAGGATCTCTAAAGCATTTTTCACAGCTAACCTCCTTCTTCATCTTATATCCCATAAAGTTCACCATAAATAATATAATTTGGGACTTTTGCTTAATAGTGCCAATATTTGGCAAAATTTTCATTAAGTTGTAATATCCTCGTTGTTAAAGAGGTGTGTGTGTTGGGGGGGCAAGTGGCACTGTTTGTTTTTTTCCTTGGTTGTGGGACAGGTAGCATGTTCTACTGCCATAATAATGAAACAGCTAGGCAGTCAATTAGTATGTACCCAATATATATTGAATGGAAGTGACATCTGAAGATCCACTTATAATTATCCCTTTTCCTTTCAACATAAATTTATTGTCTCATTGTGGTAAGGACATGACCTTGGATTTTCAAAGACCATTATAGCAGGTTACAGGTTCTTCAATTTTGGTTTAAAATGATTGTATGTAATGCTATATGGAACTGCCCAAATGGATTTTCAATTTTACTGACTCTCAAATTGATAGAAGGTCAAGAAGGCCTGAGTTTGAATCCAGCCTTAGACGCTTACTAGCTGTGTGATCTTGGGCAAATCACTTAACCTCTATTTAAATCTCAGTTTCCAAAACTGTAAAATGGAGATGATTATAACAATACCTGTATCCTAGATTCATTGCAACAATAAAATGATGTAATATTTGTACAGCATTTAACACAATGTCTGGCACAAAGTAGGTGCTATATAAATGCCTCTTTTATTGCTGTTGTTATATCTGAAATTTGATGATAAGTTTTTATTGTTTTAACCATTTTTTCACATGGGCAAAACACTGAACCAAATGATAGGGGAAAATAAATAAATAAGATATGGTCTCTGTCCATTCTCTCATGGAATTTACAATCTAGGAGTGGAAATATGATACCTTCAGGAAGATGCAATATTATGCAATATTTAATAACTAACTTTAAAAAAATTACATGGCACAATAGATTTGAGGAGCTTCTGAAGCAGTATGGTAGAGACAGAAGAGATTTTCCTTGTCTCTCTTAGCAGAAGATTACTTTCCTATCACATTGGTCATGAAAGTAAATGTTGGTGTTAGGGAGAAATATTTTTGAGGTTCAGCATAATAGCCCTAAGACTGTTGTTTATTTATTGGCAACTTATGAGCCCAGCCTAGGAGTTTTGAGTGTGATAAGGTGGAAAAGTCTTTGATTAAAATAAGAATATAGTCAAAATATCCATTCACTTGATATTAAGGAATAGAACTTGGAGTTAGTAAGGGTAGGGAGTGAAATACTTTTTGAATTAAAATGAGATTACAGAGTAGAAAAAGTCAAATTTTTAGATTCAGAGTTGGGAGGGGCATCAGAGATTATTTAGTTCACTATCCTCACTTTATAGATGAAGCAACTGAAGCCAAGATTTGCCTAAGGTTGTACTGATAGGAAGAGGCCAAGCCAATATTCCAGTTATAGTCTTTTGACTCCAAACCTAGCTCTCTTACCACTATGCCTGAAAGCCAGAAGGTCTGTAGTGTTTGTGCTCTGCTCATAAGCTCCAGAGAAAATTTAGGGTTATGGCCTGACAGATTAAAGTATAATTGGATAACTACAAAGGTGAGATACCTTGCTACCTACTATCTTCCTAGAAAAGTTCCTTCTCCTTGGATAGCAGAGTGGATCAAAAACTAGAATCCTACAATATGTTCCTTACAAGAAACACACTTGAAGCAGAGAGACACACAGAGTAAAGCTAAGGGGCTGGAGCAGAATCAATCATGCTTCAGCTGAAGTAAAAGAAGCAGGGGTAACAATCCTGATCTTAGACAAAGTAAACGCAAAAATAGACCTAATTAAAAGACATGAGGAAGAAAATTACATCTTGCTAAAGAGCAAGGGATAGTCTACTGGTCAGAACTATGGGGAGGGGAAGAATTCATGACTAAAAAAGATATAGAGAGTATTACAAAATGTAGACTAGATAACTTTGATCATACTCAATTGAAAAGATTTTTTTACAAATAAAACCAATGCAACCAAGATTAGAAGGAAAGCAGAAAGGTAGTAAACAATCTTTACAGCAAGTGTCCCTGATAAAGGCTCATTTCTCAAATACATAGAGAACTGAGTCAAATTTAAGCCATTCTCCAATTGATAAATGGTCAAAGGATATGAAAAGGCAGTTTTCAGATGAAGAAATAAAAATTATCTATATGCATAGGAAGAAGTACTCTAAATCACTTTTGATTTGGAGAAATGCAAATTAAAACAACTCTGAAATATCACCTCACACCAATCAGATTGGCTAGTATGACAGTAAAGGAAAATGATGAATATTAGAGAGTATGTGGGAAAATTGGGACATTAATGCACTATGGGTGGAGTTGAGAACTGATTCAACCATTCT